TTTCAAGTTTTAACCAAATCGAATAAAAATTGTGACCTCTATAGGGTCCACAAACGAAAAACCAGATTTTTCGTACAATCAGGGGCAATAATCCATGAACTTACAGTCCGATATATGCCAATATCGAAAGGAACCGAGATCTTAGGGAGATAAACCTATATTTCAAGATTCGTTGAAATCGGATAAGAATTGTGACCTGTAGAGTGTCCACAAACAATTGTGGACGGATGGACACGGGCGACAACAACATACGTCCATATGAAAATGTGGCCGTATAAAAACAACACACTAAAAATCTGATACGAGTAACAACCATTTGGCTTCTAGTTCTGCCCTACAGTTACGTTTCGTTTACAAAACTTTTAATATCAAGGGCCATAACTCTAGCAGTAATAAGCTTAAACAATGTGTATAAATTTAAAATCAAACGGATATTACCCGGTAGCTTTAGCCTCTAGAGCATCCACAAGCAATTATTTATGCCGGACAGACGGGGGCTACCGCAATACATGTATACAACCACATTTTCACGTGGTAGTATAAACATTAATCGTATCATACTTTAGGTATAGATTTATTGCACAGTATGTTTCGAAAAATCTACAAGTAACATTTTCAAGTTAATCTACACTTATCTGCTAGCTCATATAAACATAATAATATACAAGGATGATAGTTTAGAAATATGTGTGTACTAGTGTACTTATAATGATCTACAAGTACTGCCGTGCTTGTTAATGGTGGTAATTAGCGTGACTGGGCGAGTTTTAAATAACATTCAATATATTGTTCAGGTTGTTAGCCACATGCTGTGAATGAAGTAGTAGTAGAAAGATACTCCAGAGAGAGAGGTCCACTCGACACAAACTAGATCATTTCGGAACTAACATGGTTCAATTTTATTTCAATTATAATCTGCTTGCACGGAGGGGTCTTTAGCAGTGTGGGAGGAAACCAGAGGACCTGCAGTTGGAATTCGATATAAGAGTAGGCTATAGAGTCGCTTCCCGTGCAAAATTTCCATCATAGCACACTGTAAGGCGTATGCCTGTTTTCATTAGCCCAGTCGGAGCAGAACAGTAGGACGTTAAACCCCATTCCATTCATTTCATGTCAGACAATTAGGTAGGTACCTATATAATACATTAAATACTTACATCAATGGCACCTAATTTACCAACTAAAGCTTTTTGTTGTTTGTTAACCTGACAGGCCAGACAGTTGAGTAGATATATTCCTATACGATGTATAAAGTCATCTTCCTGTTCAACTTTTAACATATCTAACAGTACTCTTGATATCCGTGAATAACAATATAACTATAATAACAATAAACAACAATTATACATAATGATAAACAACAGTAAATTATGCATAACAATTTAACTATAATAACAACAGTTATACATAACAAAAGGAAATGGGGTTTAACATCCTACTTTCTGCACCGACGTGACTAATGAAGATAGTCATGAGTGAAAAGTTCTGCGGACAATGGAGCTATTACACACTCTTATTTCAAATTCCAACTGTCAAGAGTTCTTTTACATGCACACCAACAATCTGTTTCACATAGGATTACGAAATTATTCTAATATCTCTGTAAAAGATGACTGCCTTCAACACATGACATCATATCATGCGGCGTCAATCATTGGCTCAATGGCACGTGCATTATTTACATAAAACCTTACTGATTCAGGCAGATTGGAGTCTTTTAGTACTTTTACCCATTTTAATACCCATTTACACTAAATAGGAAATCATTTTTACCTACAAATACATCAAACGTCTTTATTTATTTTTCCAATCCATAAAAAAATGTTTTAGAATTTAATTTGTCAGAGGAAAAAAGTTAATATTTGTGTCTCATTAAGTCGCATCGATGTCATCCTTATCAGTGATTGTCACGGCCTAGCAAATATTCACTGCTGATCAGTGTGGCACACCATGTGCATTCTCAGTGCTTAGGTGTTAAACTTTTGGTATATTGTTTATTTATAAACTGCTTCCAACTTGAGTTACTTTCATATTCCTAATTTTGTAATTTTTTTATATATCAGTGATGGGATTTCACCCTCATATTCCGGACATGTCTGACGCTATTTTCCGAACGTCCAAAATTGTCTGACCAGGAATATGTCCAATCGGACATCAAGATATTAATATAGTGTACTGAGTGTATAAATACCGCTCAACTCAATTTTCGTTAATAATAGGCTGGATTGATTAGGTAATTAAGTGATCAACTATTTATCGTGTTATACCGTATATACACCTACCTTGATTAAAGATGGGTTCCCAGAAAAGTATTTATCGGGTGGTTATTTCCAATAAAAATATGGTAATTTTGGTATATATGGAAAGTAGAGATATCCAATCTTACTAGAAAAATACTGGATTCCCCGAAAAACACTCATGGAGCGTATACAGGACAAAAATGTAAGGGTTCCCCTAATTAACAGCCCGACAATTAGGAATTTCTGCACGCGTGATGTCAAAGGTCACACGCGAACATTGAGTGCTTGATGTACAAGTTGATAAACTTTATGAAGAGTTAGACGTACAACACTTTCTGGGATAAAAATGACGGAAAAAGACGTGGGTAGTGGATAATCTGAGAATTTAATTAGGATTCAATATTTGTAATAAATAGTAAGCGATAAAAGACAACATCGTGTATGCAATGAATTCTCCTCTGACTTCCATGAGAGGTAAGTCACGTGACGTAAACATGACCTGGTTTGATCGAATTTTTATAGCAGGACATTCCTTCGCAATTACAATGTTTGAGAAGGATTTGAAGCAAAGTTATGACAAATAATTTAGTTTGAATCTGTTTTTAGTCCATATATACCATTAAATCACCCAGTTTGTACGCGGGAACCACTCTTTAACTACTTAATTTGCCATGATTGACTGACTTAATCTTTTATCAGACAATTCATCAATCTAATCTTAAACAGAAGTCATTGCTTCACCTTTGTCAGACTATTCATCAATCCAATAAGAGTGATTATAATTTTAATCTATGTGTTTACCTCGTGGTTTCTACATTGACTTGTCAGACATTTTACCAACATGTACCAACCGACACCATGTATAAACTAGTCTTAGATGTCACATATCGTAAGAGTATATAACACCTGAAGTCAATGGACAGTCATTTTGTCTGCAATATCTTTTACGTCTGTTAAGACTGCCTATAGAAATTCTCATCAACAGTGGCACTTTCCTGTCATCTCGATTGCTGAACGAAAATCACTTACAAGGCAGTGCTTACGATGAAGCTATGTGCTATGAATCACGTACGCCATACGCTGAAGGAAGCTATGCCTTTTTACAAGTAGGTACGGATCGGCAAGCTTTCATTATATCGTATTACGAAAACACGTAATTTTATAGGAATATTACTGACTTAAATTTGAATATGAAAAATAGTGAGGTGTTCCTATTTTTATTACACACATATTTGAATAATTTTTTTTTGAGATTTTATAAAAAAGAAAATGATTCTTATTCTGGAAATTCTGCATTCATTTGCTGCCGTATAAACGAAGACACGTAATTTTTCAGGAATATTAGCCCTACTATTGTGAATTTGATGCAGAATCGGCAAGCTTTCATTCAATGTATTACGAAAATGAGTTATTTTGTAGGAATCTTACTGACATAAATTTGAATACCGTACGAGAATTAAATATGAAAAATAGTGAGTTTCACCTATTTTTATTACGTACGGGATTTGAATAGTTTGTTGACACATGATTTTTAACTGTGGTAGTAATCTGTCTGCTTAAATAATGATAAGAGTTATGCCCCTTTATTTTTGGTAAAGTGTCCGAAAAGAAAAATTTTGAAATCCCATCACTGTTATATATACATTTAGTCATCTTTTATAAATTTAGTGAAGTCTTTGCTATTATACAGTAGAATCTGTACAAGCAGCCACTCCTATTCAGCGACATCTCCTTGTAAGAGGTCACGATAAATGCCCCCCGTAGAAATTCCATTGTTTCATCTCTATAATCAACGATCACTCCTCTAACGCGGCCAGCGGTCACTATTTACTAATAAATTTAACAAAACATCGCCCCTTCAACGGCCATTGTTGAATGATGCCATCTTGTCGTACTTCGTTAACTTCATAGCAACTCCACTAATCACGTGATCAATAGTTAATTATCTGGTCCCCCATCGATCAGTTAAAAAGAACTGTGAAACTAACAACAAACCCGGAATTATCTGTTAATTAATCTTTTGTTTTATTAAATGACAAACCATTTTCTGCTGATCATTATTTTCACATGTAACGAGAAAAACATTATTTGATACTGATTGAATAAATTAAAAGTACCATCAAAGTCGAGTTTTGTCACAATCATCTAGTATCTATTTTCCATTGCCACTTTGTTGCTAAACAGAAGTTTAAGCACCTCCTATATTACTTACAGAGTTACACACCCTGAAAATCGGTGACAACTTCAGCGATGTTTTTTTGGACATGTGCTTTTCTGATAAAATTAATTCATGGATTTTCTTCACAAAAATGGATAAATATTATCGAATACATCACAATGGTAGACAGTAGTATCAATGTTGGTACAAAATAACACGTTTGCAGAAGTTATATCAGAGATTTGAGTCAAAGAATTTTCGTTCCAAGCAAGTTTCAGCGATGGCCAAATCTATCGATGCAAGTATTCATGTTTGCTCCCAATGCATCCAAGCGTAAAATTGACTTGATGTCAGCACTAACAAACACTGAGATTTTATTAAGAGGTCACTCCTGTTAAGCGATCAGTCATGCAAATTCCCTGGAATGGCTGCTTAATACAGATTCTACTGTGAACTAAGACAGAAAAGCACAGTGAACGATTACATCCTTGATCTATTAATGTATGGGTTTCTAGTTATTTGCAGTTACTATTACTATGTACTGAAACTTACCACATCTTGTGAAACATTAAAATAACATAAAGTTAGACAACCATTTCTCATCATCTGAAATATAAACAAAACAGAGTTAAACAACCATTTCTCATCATCTGAAAAATAAATATTAAAATAACGAAATTGAAGAATAAAGAATTTTCATCATCTGTTAGAACCGATAATACAGAAAAGTAGGACCTTAAACACCATTTCATATCATTTCATTTCATTTTGTTAGAAAGCAATGAAAACGAAAAAAGTTAACATCTGGTCAAGACAGTGCAAAATGCTAGGGCTGCGTATTTTGGGGGATGAAAATTACTTTGACCCCACTAAATGTTCCAAAAAAGCCTAAATCAATGCTTTTTCGACAGACAACATTTTAAACTAAGACCTGCAATCAATTTTTACCACTGGTAAAATTTTGAGACTGCTGGTGTTACCAATGTAATCTATTCTTTTCATTACATTTCAATTTTTTCAAAACTGATCATATCCTAATCTATTCTAAGCTATTTGTAGGGTGACCCACCATAAATAAATATCTCCATATATCTCGACAATTACGCCACAATATTTATATATATGCCAAGCCTCAAATCAGTTTCACACAATTATAGTCACTAAATAAACGATCATGTTGTACTTAATAAGCTATGACCATTAATCATGTATAAATAATAGACTGAAAACTGGTTCCAAGAGTCGTCCATAACATCCAGACACTTTTGAGTAAAAGATAGGTTACGTGCCCTTGTTTTGAAATTAGTCTCACTTAACCAGTCTATAGACCATTCTACGTCTGATTGACAGGTCGAGATAATCAAGACTACTTTTTTACGAAACATAACAGAAAGCTAGAACAAGAAATTGAATTTAGAAATAAGCACGTTAGGTAGCTCAACAATCGTTTTAAGAAGCTTGTAAAAGTAAAATGAAACTACTGCTAGTATCATGTTCCTGTCTAACCCGAGTGATTCAGAGATATTATTTGTACTAAACCAAAAGATGCTGCTCTTAACGGTACAGTTAATGATAAAGCGATTTAAAAAATGAAACGAACGTAATATCTAAATCTGCTGTAATAACCAAGAAGCTTAATTTTACTGCTATTCAAAATCGTCAACAATAAATTTTTTAAGGCTGTAATAGTTGATAGATTTGTAGAGAATTGCACGTGCCATGGCTATTTATAGTATCATACTGTCAGAAAGTTTGTCTCGGCACGGCGAATGTGCACGCTTCAGTGGTAGTCTCGAACTATCAGTGGTGGACTGTATTTCTGTGAGTACATGGGTCACCCTACTATTTGCTTCAACTTACTTTTTTTTCACTGGAAAAGGCCTCCATACCATCTAAAACTAGATCAATTACTTTCCTAAAATATAATAAAATATTTGTATTCAATTCAAACTAAATTATTATTAATAGCATCTGTAGACAAGAAATATTTATAATCTAATTCCTTCCTTTCTTCAAATTAACAAGGTTTTATTATTTTAATTTCTGGTAGGTTGAGATATATTTTACAGGTCTCCAAATGATTTTTTATTTCCATTTTAGTTGGTTATCTTTCCATATAAAGATTGCATACAGACCTTTTCTGTTTTTGCGTTAAATTTTCCTTTTGATCACCTTTAGCTATATAAAACAATGAAGCGCTGGAAATAAAAGCACACAAAATATAAGTCTTTACAACCAACCCTCTAATCCCGAATCACACAGTTGGCAGAAATAACCCTTAACTTTTTAACATTCCAAAGGACAGTGCAGGAAAGCTGCCCAACAAAATAAAGATAGCACAGACAATACAGGAATATTTTCTTATGAAATGTGCTACTGTATAAATGAAAAACATGTTTACCTGCCAGAAATCTGTACATGAGGATCAGCAGGATGACGATGCATTCCTTCTAATAAACACTGAAATTACACAAATTTATTGTCTCTAATCATAATATAGGTGATTTTTTATACCTTACAAACTATGGTTGTGTGAAAGTTGAATTTTAAAAAGGGAATATCAGTACCAAATAGTTCAATTCCATTCAGTATTAACAAAGATATTTGGTATTTGGCATCCACTACACACGAAAGGGTATGGTCAAAACAAGCCAGTGTCACTTATGATTTTCACTAAAATCTTCTGATGGGCCTCTTATTAATCCAATTGAAACGAGACCGGAATATTATCTACCGTTTTTATTTTGATTTCTCGATTTGACAAATCAATTCAAATTGAGAAAATATCCCTAAGATCCCTAACGCACTATTACCATATCATTTCGATTGATGTCACTAGGAATTCATTTGATAACTCAATAATACAATTAATTACACTTACCTCTAAGGCCTTGCATTGATCTGATACAACACCAGCTTGAAATAGATGAAATAATTTGTTTAGAGCTGAACAAAGCATGACAGATCTATCTTGATATCTCTGTACCGATAACAGAACTTGATCTTCAGTACCATGTCCCGTTACCTACAAAAAAACATTTAAATCAAAATTCACAAAAAATTAAAACCGACAACATTAAATTGACACTTCAAGACTGTTCTATATTGTTCCTTGTAGAAATTTAAACTTTTAATAAATTCTAAAGAAATAATTACTAAATATTTTATGCTGAAATTTGGGATTTAGTATTTGTCCATGCAATCAAAAATACGATGAAAGGAAAACAGACACAAAGCTCAGTGCAAACTACAGTATGATATAATATGCCTTAAATACTAACTATCACAGTATTTTCTGTGTTACACTTCTAAGACATGTACACGGACAGAAATGAAATGAAATGGGGTTTAACATCCTACTTTTTTACTGCAGTACACACAGGTCTAGCGATTCTAGCCTCACAAGTATTAATACAGGACTAGGACGAGATATCCTTATGTTCTCTAGGTTTAAATCTTTACATCAATTTCTTGAGATAAATCTAGAATAAACAAATTAAATACAAAATATTAAAAAAAAAATTGGCTATTATAAATTACCTGTTCTGCTGGTAGATTTTCACGAAAACATGGATCATGTAAACAATCTAACAATCCTAAAAACTTGAATCGCCTCCCCTTTAAGCCAACAATACAACATTCTTCCTCCTCATCACTATAATAAGATATCCAAAACATTAAAGTCCCTTAAGAAAACAACTGCATCCCATACAATACCAACAATTGATTATTGAAACATATATCTGTGAAATAGCTGATACATCAGCCCCCCACCCCCAATCCCCTTTCCGATACACACAAAAATATTATGTTATAAAATTATGCTATATTTATATCCAGCTCAATCAATCCCTTGTTAATTCAAAATAATAAAGGATGTTAATGGCTGAACACTTGACTGAATAAAAAAAAGGGCAGGGGAACAATTGATTGAATAATTGTGGAAATGGAAGTCAAAAAAGGTTTTTGTTCTCAGTTGAAAAATCCAGAACTTCAATACATTTGTACCAAAGGCCGTAACACTCATCCGCATAAAACTCATAGGTTTGTATTCAAGATTTGAATTATGTAAAAGAAAAACCTCTTCACTCAATTCATAATGATTCACCTTTCGGTATTCTATGAAACAACTGGGCGTTTTTTTCTTTATTGGAACATCTACAGCCCTCGAATTTACACCTCCTCAGTAACCTTGGTATTTTTTGTACAGTTTATTGTAAATGTTTATGACAATAATTTTTGTTCTGTTAATTTCAATAATGAACTAGATCTCCAAGGAGTACTGACATGTTTCAGTACGTCAGATCAACAATCAAGTTACACCATGTATTATTGAGTATAGTAACATCCAATACCTATTAAAGTGGAAAAACCTGTCATTTTAAACTTCTTGAAAAAAAATTTTGATGTTAATTGTTAGTAGACATGAGGGTCATCTTATATACAAAAGTCAAAGGTCATTAAAAGGTTAGGTCACCAGATAGAAGGTGAAAAGTCGAACAAAATTCATAGTGAAACTGGAAGTAAATGAAATTAAAAGTTCAAAAATCAGCTCCCTAAGAATTGTTGCCATTTGGAGTAGGTTCAAAACAAAATAAAAGTTTTTGAAAATCGAAATCAAAATGGCCGCTAAATATTGATTGAAAATTTATTTGTAAAGTCCAATATGGTGGCCAAACGGTTGAAAATGTTATCGAACAAGGTCTCTTAAAATGAAAGATAATATGTTGAGCTAACACCACCATATGTCATTTTTGGTCTATTTTTAAAATGGATAGAACTATTCATGTTCGTGAAAAATCGGAAGGCCTCGGTAATTTCCAGAAGTTTCAAAAGCCTACACAAATTTTTTTAATGTGCCATTATGAAGGTATCCATGTGTCCCTTATTCCTACCAAGTTTCAACTTAATACCTCAAATACTAAGGGAGATACGCCCTCTGGAATGTCGAAAAAATGCTGAAGAAAACTTTGACAAATCTTTGATGCTAAAACTAAACGAGCGAACTTCCGAATTTCAAAAATTGTCAATCAGAGAACCTATGGGATTTGTACAAAGACTCCAAAAATGAAAACCGATGGAGATCTGTAGAGAAATACATGTAACTGAGATAACGGAAATATGAGATTATTTTTTGTCCCATCCGTAAAACACTTCATGTTTGTCAAAAATGACCCAATTTATATTTAATATTTAGTTCCACTGTAGCCAACACCGGCTACGTTGGTAGAATGTTTCCATCATGCACAGTTTGGGCTGCAACTAGTGACTAAAATCGGCAAAAAAATAAAATAATATAATAATAGTTAAAAACCATTACAAAAACAACATGTGTTTCAAATGAAGGTTCAAGACACGTAATAATTAATTAGCACCTAACTGCAATCAAGTTTAGTTTACAGATCATCAAAGTAGCTACTACAGCTTTGTTTTCTGTCAACTGTGTCTCTCAAATGAATTCAAATAATGCAGACTTATATTGAATATTGGAAAGGTTAAGTTTGTGAAAAGAAACATGTTAACCAAACCATGGTGTGAATAAACATAGCCAAGCTGTTGATGTATATCAGAGGCTGTCATGGGTAGTATGTGTGATGTCACATATTGAATAATTTCAATAAGATTAAAACTGAAAGATTTGAATATTATTTGGAACAAAATCTTTAAAAATCTTAATCTTTAAGAGGCATTTAGTAACTGGGTAGAGCAATACACAAAAACACATACTTATGGAAAAACAGCTACTTATTTATTTGGGCGACGTTTCGAAGAGTATTCTCTCAACGTTATCAAACGTTGAGAGAATACTCTTCGAAACGTCGCCCAAATACCAAATAAATAAGTACAGTGGACTCTGTCACATCCAATCTCTGATCACTCCGGATTGCTGTGACATCCGGTATGATTTTCATGTCCCGATTTATTTCTTTATTACTTCAGCCAAAAAATCGCTGGTAAATCCGAATTCTGTATGTTCCGGAAACCGAAATCAATCGGCTGTCCCTTCACATAATTTCCATTGAATCGACATCGAATAATCCGTACTTCAAACGGTGGGTGTGAAGCATCCAATTATCGGTGAGATTAAAACACAACGGGTGTGAAGCCAGAAAAGATTAACAAGTAATCACCAATCAATTATCGGTGAGATTAAAACTCGCAAGAGCCGGTCTGTGTTGATTACTTTGATCGGTAAAGCAGTAAACCCGAGATGTTTTAAGGGAGTGGACAAGATCAACCTGCCAGTCAATTGGTCGGCCAATCGCAAAGCTTGGATGACAGGTGCCGTTTATTTTGATTGGCTTGAAAAACTGGACATAGAACAACAGATTATAAATGAACACGTAACAGAGTGGACAATTGACCGAAGACGGGGACGATGAAGAATATACATTAACGACAGACTTGACCTATTCAAAATTCCTACGCATGCTCAACGACATTAAACACTTCGCACAGATTAAGGACGAAAAGATGATCGCAACAATTCATTTGTTAGAAGATGTTGCCCAGGACTCCGCCTTACGATATGCTTCTGGTAATCTTAAGCAAACTACTTTAAACGATTACATGCATTGATATTTATAAATATATTGTACGCATGCATTGATATTACATGTAAACGATTTTATGAATATATTGTACGCATGCATTGTTATTGTTAATTATTCAATATTATAAAATTTTGAAAGTACAGAAAAGTTTATCATTTATAAAGGGAATAGCATTCTGGTGATTCGAAGCTACAATATAAAAATACTTCCGGTTTTCGAAGTTACAGTATTTCCGGTTTTGGAGAAAGCTCGGTATTCCGAAACGCTGTGTGATCCGAATTATTGTAACGATCCCGTACGATGTCGGATGTGACAGAGTCCACTGTAGCTGTTTTTCCATAAGTATGTGTTTTTGTGTAAAATCTTTAAAGACACCATGTAAAAATAAGATACAATGTGACTGTACCAATTTTGGGGGGAATTAGCATGTAATTGGTGGGAAACTGGTGTAAACTTCTCATATCCTGGTAGATTGGTTCCTGAGATATCTAAAGACACAAGTTGAGGTAAAGCTGAGACAAGATCAGATAGTGTTATATCTGGTTGCAGAAATTTCACTGGATCATCAGCAACAGATATATCAAGATGCCTGGAATATAAAATGGAAATAACCAAAAATGTTAGATTCTGATCATGGATAATGTCTTTTTTCTTCAGACACAGGATTTAAAAGGTATTTAATCAAATGGTGAAATAATATTTTGCTCTATGGTTCCATGGGCAATTTTGCCTGGATTGTGAGAATTCAAACCAGAGACATTCTGGTGGACTGTTCCATGCCCTATCACACAAACAAGAAATCCTCCAATTTGAAAAATGTAATATATACCAGTAGCTGCCAGGCAAGATACCCCCACATTTTGCAAGAGATGGTTAGAGAACAAGCTAAAGCTAAAAACGCAATTTTTGTACAATCAAGGGCCATAATTCAGGACGTTATGATCCGATATGCGCAAATATTGAAAGAAACCAAGATCTGTAGGTTATAAACATGTATTTCAAGTTTCATCAAAATCGGATCAACATTATGACCTCTAGAGGGTCCACAACCTTGATAGACCATATATTTACACTATTTGCGTACAAGGGGCGGTCATTTTGTCCAACAGTTTTGGTCCGATTTTCACGAAATTCGTACTCAAGCATTATACAGTGTAACGTTTCTTTAAATTGGATAATAATTGTGACCTCTAGAGGGACCACAAGCTATAAAGCCGATTTTTCGAACAATCAAGGGCCATAATTCAGGAAGTTACAAACCTATATGCGCTAATATCGAAAGGAATCAAGATCTTTGGGTTATAAACATGTATTTCAAGTTTCATCAAAATCGGATCAAAATTATGACCTTAGCGGGTCCACAACATTGATATACCATATTTTTACACTACTTGCGTACGGGGGGCGGCCATTTTGTCCAGCAGTTTTGGTCCGATTTTCACGATATTCGAACTCAAGCATCATTTTTTTTAAATCGGATAATAATTGTGACCTCTAGAGGGACCACAAACTAAAAACTCGATTTTTCGTACAATCAAGGGCCATAATTCAGGAAGTTACAATCCGATATGCGCAAATATCGAAAGGAACCAAGATCTTTGGGTTATAAACATGCATTACAAGTTGTATCAAAATCAGATGAAAATTGTGACCTCTAGGGCGTCCACAAGCTAAAAACGTGATTTTTCGTACAATCAGGGGCCATAATCCATGAAGTTATGGTCCGATATATGCCAATATCGAAAGGATCCAAGATTTTTGGGAGATAAACCTATATTTTAAGTTTCGTCAAAATGGAATAAAAATTGTGACCAGACAGACAGGCGGACGGACAGACGGATGGGCGTCCGGACGAACAGGGGCGACGACTATATACAACCACATGAAAATGTGGGCGTATAAAAATACATGTATGTAGGTCTTCTAGTATGTATTTATATGTACCGAATAATAAAAAAAGCTATTCTTTATCATCAGATTACCTTAGTGCTTTCAGTTGACCAATATGTTCCAATAATTGTTTATTGTCAGTGTCATTGACATCTTCTTTCATGACGTTACTGAGATTTAAAGATCGAAGTTGTGGTAGTGATTGAAAACTTGTTACATGCTCCGCGCAAAGACCACAGTTGGAAAGATCAAGATGGGTCAGTCTTGGTAAGGTTAGTAAAAATGTTGATAAAACCAAATCATCTGGGTTGTTAAAATCATAATCCTGTATACAGAGGGTTCTTAAATTTGGACATTCCAACACAGCACTTTCATCAAGAACATTTGGATTTTCATCACAGTTGTAGAATATAGAACGTCCTTCAATTCGTACTGACTTTAATGTATGCTGGAATTTATTAATAGTTTTTAATGACTCCCTTGTTAATTCCTGACAATTGGACAACTCCAAATCAACAATTGGCTGGTTTTCCAGCAATTTAAGACATTTATCATCAATTTTAGACTTTCTCAGACAAATTGAGCTAAGCTGAGATCTTGCTGTGTCTGAAAATATTGTGAAATTTTCATGAACAGTGGATGGTTTTATATCTACCAAAGCCTTCAACAATTTGTCACATATAGACTTTGGCAGAGTTATTCCCTCTTGTAAATGATATTGACCACTCGTTTCATTTTTGGCAGCAAATGTTTCTATGTTTGTAGCACAAAATTGTACACAGATGTCTTCCAATCTGTCTGGACTATTGTCTGGCCAACCATTTGTCATTTTAGTGACTTACAGAAATATCTCGCAACTCAAATTCTGAAAGTGAAAAAATAATTTTTAATGTAATAAATATTAAATGCAAGCTTTAAGGCTGTTGTCTACTGAGTTTTACCAACGCACAACTTTTCAAGCAATCAGCACCATGATGTCTGCATACCTCACTGTGATCAAGAAAAGATATTATTAGTGGAGAACAATTGTTCTGTTGGCTTTAATCTGTAAATTAACCCCCAAAAAACTTGCAGGAGAATGGTCACAAATTATATATAAGAAGGTGGATATTAGCTTTTGTGACACTGACTTTCTGTTACTGGCTTTATAATCATTCGCTATTGAAAATTAAGATAGGTTCCTCCTCAGAAAACAGAGAAAGAGAGAAATGGGGTTTAATGTCCACTCGACACAAACTTGGTCATTTCGGGAATAACATATGGTTGGGTCTTTAGTAGTGGGAGGAAACCAGAGGACCTGGAGAAAACCCACGAGGTTGGACAGGCGACCCTACTCCTTGTCACGCACAACACGGGAATCGAAACCATGCCAGTATACTCAATTACAGACTTTATGATACAGCGCGCATATGTGCCAACCATTCAGCCATCCAACCCCCTCCTCAGAAAACAATCTCTATGGCAAATTTTTTCAAGTGTAACAACATTCATTCAGTTTTATACTCATGCTTCACGGAAAATTATTAGCTTAATGAACAACATCCTTTACATACATGTAGGCCTACATGTATTGGGGAGAAGACCCTACACAGACATGTTTTTCCTAAACAGCATCAAATTCAACCAATTAAACTGTGATTTTTTGGTTTCAGCCATCACAAAGTTGACCCCCTAACTAGTTAGCTCTTTAAGAGCTGCTTTTATTGTCACAATAGCTCCCTTTTTAAACATTTGTGGCCAAAATGTTCAACAGTAAAAGTAATGTGTAGCCTACAGTTTCAGTCCATGTAGGACTATATTAGGGAAGTCAATATAGACATTCACTTGATTTATATACATATCCTACATTTGTTTTGTTGTTTATTGCTTCAGTGTCTGCGTAGTTTGTGTCTATATTGTCCATGGGTTTTGTTTTGATGTGGTTCGTGGGGTCCTGCATGCACTTAATTAAGCACAGTAGTCGGTATTATAGATTCCAAATTTTATAAATGAACTACTACAAACAAACCTAAGTAAGAAAATGATTTTGCTGATATTTGAACCTTATAGGCTTTAGAAAGAAAACGCTAAAAAAATACCTTCAACTTGTTCAAGTCTTTGTAAATTGTAGTCAATCAATGAATATGATGATGAAACGAAGGGGCAATTTGAATTTAATTCCTTACAAATTAATACAAATCAATAATCTTTTTGTTCTATAAATCCCTCCAATTACTAAACCAAAACTTTATTGGTTAATTTTACAAAACTATTTATTGTTATTATTTCTGCGTAAATTACTCTTGTTTTGGTCATTAAAATATGTACCCTATTGACTATTGTAATTGTATTACTTCCGGCGTAAACTACCAAAAAATAACCTTCACCTCTCAAAAATTGAGAAGATATTGTCGCCTGTCATTAAGACCAAACAATGTCATTTATTCAGAGTGTATTGTTATATTGAGGAAAATTATAAATGTGACATTAACACTGGCAATCCGTGGTATTATACAAGTTTAACAAACAAATAGGGTTACTGTGTATTATTCATGGGCGCAGCCATATTGAAAATTTCCAAGGGATCACGTGATATTTTGTGGTATTATCGTTACTATTTGTGCAAAGTTTAGATTCTGAGAAAATTGTACCACTGCAAAATATGTTTATAAAGCCATATAATCACAGCAAAATAGATTTTTCTTGGATTGTTTCTTAAACTATTGAAGAGTTTGTATTTATTACATCTTAAACCAACAACTTCTCCCATTAAGACAACCTTGACCTTTCTATTGTAAACAGGAAACCAACCCAACTGCGTTATAATGTCTCATATCAGTCTAAATTTAAGCAGACACCACTTCCTAAAAGTAGCAAAGTTCAATAGTCAATGTTATTGTGAGAGATGTTAAAGTTGTTTGACTGTCATTAAAATTTTGCATGAATTTATCTCAATTTTAACAATCTAAATAAGGCATTCTGATTCATCACATTACATTATTATTACGAAATATACGAGTAGTAACAACGCCAATATTAGTTACTTTTGATTTTATATAATATTTGAAATAGGATTAGACTCATCTAAGTATCCAAAATCTAATACTGTCCTATTTAAAATAAGTCCTTGGAATACCACTAATAATTTGTATAAGATTCATACAAATTAATAGTTGAAACATCCTCAGATCCTGGACAGATTTAATCGGAGAGGGACCTAGTCCTGGACGGGTAGACTAAACACCGGAATTCATTTACAATACCAGAATTCACAGGAATTCACTTCAAAAATCCACAATTCCTCCCACAAAACTAATTTATTTTAAATATATAATACGTTTTAATATAACGAATAACTTTTTTGATCTCTCCACAGGCCAAATATGAAGGCGCTGTAAGTGTATTTATTTGAAAGACTACCGGAATTCATTTCAAAATATGCATCATGATTATGAAAACGTAGGGTGCGTCAAATTACCCAAAAGGCCTGACTCCAAAATAACACAAAATAACAATCTGCGTCGAATTACCCAATAACTCCAAAATAACACCCAATTACTCCAAAAATGTTGACTGTGGAAACACAAAATAACAATTTAGTTGAATTTAAGAAGCCTCGCTGCTTTGTACCTAAATCGGAGGTTCACGGGAAATAACTTGTGTATGTATGTGATTTTTGTTGACAAAAAATAAATGTATACTTTCGTTGCAATTCGTTGTATGTATTCTAATTAAAGATTGATTATAGTTTATTAAAACAGTAATTATATGCATGAAACATATTATGGTAAATATATAGTGCAATAAACAATTTAATATTATAGCTATGATTAGAGACAATCAACAAAAGGGCCCTGTCAACAAACAAGTTAAACATAAATTTGAACTTCATATCCACTGCAAATGAATTATTAAAATAACTACTAAACAGGTCAGTGTTTATTTAAGGAATAATCAGTAAGGATTAAGCCGAAATTGTGTGACCCCTGTGTTTTTGCGTCTCGTTAGTGGTTTAAGATAACTCACAATTACACTTTACACTTTATTTAATCTTGCTACAACCGATTATCTATGAAAACATCCAACCATTTGTGATGAGACTTTATTTGATTGGCTTATTATTACCAAATTAATTTTCAAATAAACTTAGCTCATCTACACTGAGAATGTTTTGCTCCACATTCAAGAAATGTTCGGTTTGACATTTTACATGGATTACTGCAGTGTTCTTATCATATTGTGTTTCCCCGAGTTGACTATCTGGAAATATCATTTTACAGCAGATACCACTAGTATCAATATTAATGGAAAATACAATTAATTGTCTTGGGGCGAATTCCGATTTTCTCAAAGTGAATTGCGGGTGTTTTAAAATAATTTATTATTAATGTAAACTATTAGTAAATGCAAAGGTCTTAAGTGAAAATTCAGATATTTTGTAAGTGAATTCCGGTGTTTTAAATTAATTTATTATTAGTGTAAAATATTAGTAAGTACGAAGGTCTGAAGTGCGAATTCCGAGATTTTTAAAGTGAATTCCGGTGTTTATGTTTTCAATATGAATTACGGTCATTGTGGTGTTTAAAGTAATTTATTTTTAATGTAAAATATTAGTAAACACGAACGTCTTGAGTGCGAATTCCGATATGTTGAAAGTGAATTCCGATGTTTATATGTTTTCAATTAGCAAATACGAAGGTCTTCAGTGCGAATTCCGATATGTTTAAAGTGAATTCCGTTGTTTATATGTTTTCAATGTGAATTCCGGTGATTTTATGTGTTTTAAAGTAATTCAATATTAATATTAATGGAAAATATAAGTAAATAGGAAGATTTTACGGGCGAATTCTGATATCTTCAAAGTGAATTCTGGTGATCGTAAGTGAATTCCGGTGATTGTAAATGAATTCCGGTGTATGGATTTGGTCAAATAATATTGTAAGTTAAAATTAGGCCTGAAATGCTGATAAAAGAGGCTTTTTGATGAATTACAAATAGGTTCTACACATAACTGTTTTAAAACATCGCAAATTTGACGAGTTACAAGTTTTTCTCCACATAGGTTGAGTAATCTCGCTTTAATGATCAAAATATCGGATTTACGAATCATATTAAATTTAAATATTGTTATTGTAAAAGGTGACAAAACACATACAATCACAACACAATAAACTATCATAACATGAGAATACTCTGAGCAGAGACAATTAATTGTCAGCGGTACTTATCTAAATTGATTTCATTTATTTATTTCAAAACAAGTTACGATGTCGATGCTCGAAAGTGACAATCGAAACAATTTGCAATTATAAATAAATAAATATAGCTATAATATTGAATTGTTTATTGCACTATATATACTGTTTTCATAAACTATTAATCAATCACTAATATACATTACAACGAATTGCAACGAAGCAGTTATACATAGTTTCTGGTCAACAAAAATCACATACACGAGTCATGAACCTCCGATTTGGGCACAAAAGCAGTTATTTTGTGTTTCCACAGTCAACATTTTTGGAGTTACTGGGTGTTGTTTTGGAGTTAGTGGATAATTCGACGCGCCCTACATTATCATAATCAAATGAATAGACCTACAGCGCCTTCATCTGGCCTATAGAGATATCAAAATAGTTATTCTTTACATTATAATGTATTATGCATTTAAAATAAATTAGTTTTGTGGGAGGAATCGTGGGTTTTCGAAGTGAATTCCGGTGATTATATGTGAATTCTGGTGATTGTAAATGAATTCCTGTGAATTCCGGTGTTTAGTCGAGCCCGTCCTGTAGGCCTAGGCTAATATGTAAAATATTATAATAAAGCTCCATGACCATGATTTGACTCAGATATTATTTCCAGATCCCTGATGTAAATGTAAATTCAAATTGAAAATAATTATTTTCTCAACACTCGATTATTCACCAACGAATGAAAGACTCTAACCACAAAGTCTAAAGGCTATTATATAGAGTAAGCTATAAACAAATGAGTTTTTAATTTAATTTTCTGGACTGATTGCTAGTTTTATGTTCAGGGTAACAAATTCTATAGAACTGGCAATACATGTATGTGAAATAGTTTGAGTTTATATTTTGGACAGGGATGTTCTTATTGAGACCAATTGGGTAAATAGATCATGTACAGCTAAGGGAAGGAGTTCTTTTTTTGGTTTATAAACACTTATTAACGTGAGACTTAAGAGCTTACCAGTAATTTAAAGTCACTTCTATATATGTTAATGAAGGTCTTTGGGTGTTGGTGTAATTTGAGACAGATTTATTTAGGCACAAGAAGCCTGCCTGTAACTGCATCCGACAGCTACACGTTGATATTTCTTTGAAAATGTATAACATAGATTTTATTGCATCGACACATCCAACTACTTTACATATATAAGCTTATAAAGGAAATACATACAAAATACAAGCAAAAGACCAGGAGAGAAGAGAATATTCCTATTCACACACACTTGGACATACATGAACATGCATAGATAACAATTTTTACGAGAAAACCTATAACATTTAAAGGGACTAGGGAATATTGGGTGAAATTGGGTCACAACTCTTGTCAGATTATTTCTCATGGCGTGAATACTTGGTGTATATAACTATACACTTCATAAGATACATTTCTGGGGATGAGATAGAAAGTTGATATTTTGAAAAAGTTGGATATATGTATGTGCTATGTTTCACAAGTGTCTGTGGCTTTAAAGCTGATAAAGTGTCCGGTAACATTCTCTTCAGGAAATCATAGAGCTTTTAAGACAAATGAAGACGAATGTCAACTTGGCAAACAGATCATAATATAGTTATAGTTAGTTATTAACATATTAGATTTGATTTAAATGTTCATATTACATAATATTCTTGTTATTATAGGTGCTGCAAATGAAGAACTATTGTTAACTTCAGAACAAAAATGTGTTTGTTATTTCTATTAGTAAATAACAACGCTAAAACAGATGAATACAAACTAGTCTTGGTAAATAATAGAGATGAATACTGGAAAAGACCTACAAAATTGGCTGATTTTTGGGCCAAAGATTTGAATTGCATTTCAGGTAATAAGAACACTGATTTAGTATAGGATTTTGGTTATGACTAGTGAGCACCATATTAATTTCTGGTTTATGTACATATCTGATAAATTCAAATTGGAATAAAATAGCCATAATATCACCATTACACTGATAATCCCATAATCTTGTAGTATTTTAAAGAATTGTTTGTCATCCACAATCAGCTAAAGTTATCATTCTATTGACTTTAAGTTTATACACGACAGTGTTTATGTTCATTAGACTATTTCCAACAAGAAAGATCTTGTGTTGGCTCTATATATAGGCTAAAGTCATATTCCAATTGACTAGAAATTTATCCACTGTGTTTATGTTCCTTGAAGATTTTCAACTATTTCTAATGATTACTATCAGAGTTATGATCCTTGATCAAGTAGAAAAACTGTCCTTTATGGACTACTTTGACAACTAGCTGCAGTGGGGAAATGTTTCGTTTATTAGCAACTTACCTTTATTCATCTTAGGATACAGTTGGTCAAGGTTATAAACTTAAACTTTGACATTTTATAAGCTTTGTACCTGCATTGTAAATTATTGTTTCCTATAAATTTATTGTTCCCATACCAAATTAGTTGTATAGTTTTCTTCGTCAACTGACAGATCCGATCCAATGAAGAATATTGGCAATATAGATCTGGGTGATAGAGACTATAAAGTGTTGAGAAATAATTTCATCTTTAATGTTTTATATGATTTTGTTTAGGTTTAGATGAAGAACCTGGAAGAGAAGGTGGAACATGGCTCGGTATGAACAAGAATGGCAGAATTGGTATACTGCTCAATATTTTTGGCGAGATGCATCCTAATAAAAAAGGAAGAGGTGTGTTTTATATTTTCTTAGTTGTTATTAGATTAAAGCCCCAATATTCCAGACTAAATGGCCAATATGACTTTCATGCCATCCACAATAATAAGTAGTTTTACAAATAAACATGTCCCACTGCTTGACTGTGCTTCATTCAGTGTTTGAAGACACAACATGTAACGTAGTTTAAACTCTTAAGTATATGTGGTCTTATGTAGGTAGAAATGAAATGAAATGAAATGAAATGGGGTTTAAAGATGGGTTCCCAGAAAAGTATTTATCGGGTGGTTATTTCCAATAAAAGTATGGCAATTTTGTATATATGGAAAGTAGAGATATCCAATCTTACTAGAAAAATACTGAATTCCCCGAAAAACACTCATGGAACGTATACAGGACAAAAATGTAAGGGTTCCCCTAATCAACAGCCCGACGATTAGGAACTTCTGCACGCATGATGTCAAAGGTCACAAGCGAACATTGAGCGCTTGATGTACAAGTTGATAAACTTTACGAAGAGTTAGACGTACAATACTTTCTGAAATAAAAATGACGGAAAAAGACGCGGGTAGTGGATAATCCGAGAATTTAATTAGGATTCGATATTTATAATAAATAGTAAGCGATTAAAGACAAGATCGTCTTATGTATGCAGTGCTCCTCTGACTCCCAAGACGTAACGTAAACATGACCTGGTTTGATCGAAATTTAATAGCAGGGCATTTGAAGCATAATTATGACAAATTAATTAGTTTGAATATGTTTTTGGTCCATATATACCATTAAATCACCCAGTTTGTACGCGGGAACCCATCTTTAACGTCCTACTGTTCTGTACCTAAACTGGGTTAATGAAGACGGGCATACGCCATACAGTGTGCAGTGAGGGAAATTTTGCCCGGGCAGCGGCACTACGGCCTACTCTTATGTCGAATTCCAACTGCCGAGGGATCTTTTACGTGCACGCCAATGTGTACACGGGATCTTGGTTTTTCGTCCCATCCGCACGACTAACAGCTGTCCTTGTCAGGCCCTCCGTCCTGCATCACTGACAAAGGGAAACCACGCCGGAAAATCTGGATGAACTTTCTCAGCCATGTAGGTAGAAAATCAATTTTAATTAGATTTCAGGCTACTGCCCCTGCCATTTAGAGCACTTAAATTACAGTATTAACTTAAGACTATATCACTATCAGAATAAAACTTAATACCATACCATAATCAATCTACCAAGGTTTCCAGCCTTTACATATATTTTGCAGGCTTTTTGGTGTCTGATTTTATATCATCTACAGAAGATCCAAAAGATTATATATCTAAAATTTCATCTGATAAGTCAAGTTATAATGGTTTCCATCTGATACTATTAGATCACAGGTAAAAAAAACAACTCAACAAACATAGATATCTTATTGTCACCAGCACATGGATTAAGATAACATTGATTTATCATCCTAAATGAAGTTTTTTTTACATCATTTAAAAGATCCTGTCGACAGTGCCATCTTAAATTACAAAGCATGATTTTGGTCTTGCTCTGAATGCACTAATTAGACAATCCTTTCCATTCAACTTAATGAAAGTTGGGTCAATATGCATATTTTCCCTCAAGTTTTAAACAAATGGTTGCCATGTAAGATATGCCCACATTTAGCAAACAGCGTTTCGGAATACCGGGCTTTCTCCAAAACCGGAAATACTGTAACTTCGAAAACCGGAAGTATTTTTATATTGTAGCTTCGAATCACCAGAATGCTATTCCCTTTATAAATGATAAACTTTTCTGTACTTTCAATATTTTATTACATTAAATAATTAACAATGCATGCGTACAATATAGTCATAAAATCATTTACATGATATATCAATGCATGCGTAGAATATATTTATAAATATCAATGCATGTAACCGTTTACGTTTTGAATACATACAATAATGTATAATGATTCTTAAATCGCGGCAATTTTTTATATAATGTCGCGGTATTTGACATGAGTAACTAAAATCAAATACCAAGCGCACTCTTACAAGAGATTATAAATTGTAAAATAATCAACAAAGAATTTATAACATTATCAAAGTAATCAACACAGACCGGCGCTTGCGAGTTTTAATCTCACCGATAATTGATTGGTGATTGCTTGTTAATCTTTTCTGGCTTCACACCCATTGAGTTTTAATCTCACCGATAATTGGATGCTTCAAACCCACCGTTTGAAGTACGGATTATACGGTGTCGATTCAATGGAAATTATGTGACGGGGCGGCTGATTGATGTCGGAATCCGGAACATACAGAATTCAGATTTACCAGCGATTTTTTGGCTGAAGTAATAAGGAAATAAATCGGGACATAAAAATCAAGTCGGATGTCACAGCCATCCGGAGTGATCAGAGATCGGATGTGACAGAGTCCACTGTATCATGAGCCATAATCGAGGAAGTTACAGTCTGATATGCTTGAATATTGAAAGGAACCGAGATCTTCGGGATATAAACATATATTTTGAGTTTCATCAAAATTGGATAAAAAGTGTGACCTAGAGAATCCACAACCATTGGTATTGCATAATTTTACACTATCTGCATACAAGGAGCAGCCATTTTGTGGGACAGTTTCGGTCCCATTTTCACGAAATGCAAATTCAACCAGTATTAGGGTGTAACAGTGATATATTTAAACGATTTTTAAAATTGGATAAAAATTGTGACCTCTAGACTCTAGAGGTTCCACAAGCTAAAATTGTGATTTTTTCGTACAATCAAGGCCCTTATTACCGGAAGTTAAAGTCTGATATGCGTGAATATCGAAAGGAACTGACATCTTGAGGATAGAAACACATATTTTCAAAATCAGATAAAAATTGTGACCTCTAGAGGGTCCACAAACTTGATATTACATACTTTAACACAATGTGCGTACGTGGAGTGGCCAATTTGTCTGGCAGTTTCGGTCCAATTTTCACAAAATTCAAACTCAACCATCACTATGGTGTAACAGTAATATTTTCAAACGTTTGTTTAAATCGGATAGAGATTGTGACCTCTAGAGGAACCGCAAGCTAATAACGCTCTTAGCGTACAATCAGGGGCAATAATCCCAGAAGTCAGGGTTCAAAATGTGTGAATATCTAAAGGGACCGAGATCTTTGGGTTATAAACATACACTTTAAGATTCATCAAAATCAGATAAAAACTGTGACCTCTAGAGTGTCCACAAGCTAAAATGGGATTTTTCAACAATCGGGGGCTATAATCCATGAAGTTACGGAACCAAGATCTTTTGGAAATAAAGCTGTATTTCAAGTTTCATCAAAATCGGAAAAAAATTGTGAGAATCCACAAGCAAATTCTGGATGTCTGGACGGACAGTGTCGACGACAATATATGTCCACATGAAAATGTGGGCATATTGAAAGATAATCTCAAACTCTCACCGGTAAAACATTTGGTGACAGGGATAGTTATACTGAAACAAATCATTGCACAACATTGAATTTCAATTTGGTTCTTGCTTAGGATAAAACGAACAATCTCAGTAATTTTGAGAAAAGAAATCGCAATAACTTTCACTTTGCGTTTACAAGGTTTACAAGGGATAGTAGCTCTGTGAAAATTGTTGAATAACTAGTCCGATTCGGTTTGTTATATAATTCCCATTCGTCGGCTTTTCGGGTAGAAATCGTGGAATAGACTTTATTTTGAAGGTTTTGATGTTTAATGACAAAAAAACAATGTTGATATTTTTTCTGAGTAGGTCTTCATGGTATGGGAGGGCATTATTTGAGGGTAGCCTTTTTACGATAATATTCCAACTTACTTTTTTATTTCCGCCTTATTTATAATGTTATCGACATATCAGCTGTGATTTGGCAATGTATTAATATTGGCAGGGGTCGTGACTATATTTCAGATAGTTTTCCATCACATTATGAAGATATTTCCAAAATGGCGACCATTTTTGGCAGGAAAATTGGACGATGTGCTGATTTTGATTAAGTAGTAGTGTTTGGTGTCAATATATATGTTTTC